GGACAGCTCGCGTGGTGAGCGTGCCACTTGCCACTACACCACTTCCGCCCATAGCAGAATCATAGGGTTCTCAAAAGGCACGGTTTTTTGGTTATTCTGGTTTCGAAACATTTGAACGTCGCAGTCTTTTTCAACTTCAAAGGACACGCCCACTTAAGAAGCTCCGCCCCCATGAAGCCCTGTTCTACACGCACACTGCGCTCACAACCGCGGATTACGTGTTTTAGTTATTTGTATTTATATAGTTTATTTATTTATATAGATTTCATATGATTAGCACGTGATAACATCACCAATAGAAATTCGCCTCCACAAACCCCGCCCACAACGCAAAACCCACCCTATACTCCGAATCGGCTGGCTTGCTGGACATTTCCTGGCTGCTATCTGTCATTGTAGTTCTTAACTTGCAATTTTCAGGCATAAATTTTATTTCTTGATCGTTTCTGATGCGGTTCAAAAGTAGTCTCAAACAGAGTCAAATTCGTCTTGCCGAGCCTGGGTCGAATTTCTAGTTTTTGCGGGTGATTGTGAAAAGGGGGGAGGGAAGGTTGTGTTTGATACTGTTAGAGGAAGTCAGGGTGATAGAAGTTGAGGATCATGTAGTAGTGGTTGGAAGAGGATGTTTTTCGAAGGAACTTCCACAATTTTCACGAGAAATGCATAAAGGAATAGACGTTTGCCGTTCCTCCGTCATATGTGACCCCTGCGTCTCCCCTCCCGCAACACCACTGCACTTCCGGGGGAAATCGGAGCCAAAGTCTATATGAATGGACCGGCCTTAAAGGCACTGGCCAGGCAGAAGTCTTGTGAACGATTCCTTCGGTCTGTAGATTAGAACTTTAGGAGACAACCACAAATGTGAACGGAAATCACCTGACAAGAGCGCTAGGGCCTTGCAAAGTAAGCCGCAGCACCTGCAGTTTTTTTTCGGACTGGTCGGAATTTAATAGCTTCCATACCTTCTCCTTTGTAAAAGCTTGCAACGTGACATTAAAGGAGGAAATTCTTCTGTAAATGACAACAGGTGCACTTCCACAGAGCTTACTGCTTAGTTTTTTGCTTTCGTTTCAAGGAACACTCAACGCAGTGGCACCTGTCCCCTGTCGGAAAGAGCTAAAGTCGAAGATCACAGCGTGGCATCGTCAAGAGGCACAATTAGCTTATAGCAAACCAGTAAGGTGATTCATAGCGCACTTCACTCTTGCAGCTGCAAGCTGGAGCAAGGTCGGTGTTTATTACCCAATCTGAGAGAACTCAGTAGGTATATAATGGTGCTCTGGCCTACTCGTCGTGTGAGGCTCGAAAGGGATATGTTGGTATCCTACAGAGTCATGCGCGACGTGACCCTTTGAGCACCAAATGGAGCGCCGAATGGAGCACAGAATGCAACACTACCAGGAAAGGCATTCAACTTCCCATGGAACTTTGAGATGAGACCCAGATATATCGATAGAGCTTCAAACGCTGATTACAAATATGGAAACTAAAACTGCAAAATGAACCTGCCAAGGAAGTTGTGAGCAGTCAAAGTTGGCTGGAAGTAAAGCATTACACTAGCCTCCAGGCTTTCAAAGTCGCCGTGGAGTAGTGGTAGTGCTCTCGGAATTTGCGCTCCGACGGGAGGAGAGCTTATGACCTCCAGGGTGAATAGCGAGGGCACCACCACTGCTCCGCGGCGACTCTGAAAGCCCGGAGGCTAGTGTAATGCTTTACTTCCAGCCAACTTTGACTGCTCACAACTTCCTTGGCAGGTTCATTTTGCAGTTTTAGTTTCCATATTTGTAATCAGCGTTTGAAGCTCTATCGATATATCTGGGTCTCATCTCAAAGTTCCATGGGAAGTTGAATGCCTTTCCTGGTAAGGAGAAGACCACTCAATTCTCAAATTGCCAACGAGACTCATGGGGTGGTAAACGATGACAAGAAGTTCGCTGTGGCGCTCGATGTGTCGCAGTTCAAGCCACAGAAGATAATAGTGTGCATCGACGGAAGAGATGTCATCATTGCAGGGCACCAGAAGCTGAAGGCCGATCACGGCTTCAAAGAGAGGTCATTCGTCCGTAGGTGGGCTCTGCCCGAAGACGTCGACCTCAACGCGGGGCGCACTCAGCCGCTGGACGGCGTGATACTGGAGATTGAGGCTCCGAAGACTGGCGAGCTCACCAACAGGAGAGTACTGCTATTATGAGCGCAAAAGCAGTAGGTTAGACCCACGTTCTAGGACAGATATGTCGATTAGGCGGCAGGATAGAAACTAAAAGCATGTTAGCGTGTGAGTAAGGTCCTTATGCATGTTGACCATTTCCTGATGGTGGGCCCTTACACTTTACGCGCAACAATGAGAAGGACGCAATGGTCTCAAGGACCCTAAGCCCAGGCTTAGGGTGTCCTTTGAATGTAAGCACATACGAATAGATCGTTTCGCCGCTCGAATAACTGCCTGTGAGAATGTCTTCATAAAGGATAAAGGATAAAGCATTTGCCGTTGATCAATCCCTTTTTGGGATGCGGCACGCATTCTACTTCCATTTGTACATTCGTAGTGAATGCGATGTGGCCTATACAATGACTTGCGGGGCCAGCCGATGTACAAGTCAGTGTTTTTATCCTCCCAGACAAGTCTGGTACCAATTAACCGACCCCGGAGGGATGGAAGGCTTGGTTGGCCCGGGCGACTCACGACCCAGGATTTGATCCCCGGACCGCTCGCGTGGTAAGCGTGCCACTTGCCACTACACCACTTCCGCCCAGAATCTTCATAACCTGCTTAAAAAGATTAATCAGATTCTTTCCCTGCACACAAACAGCAACTAGAAGAAGATGTGGCCTTGTGGCAACGGCTATCTTCTTAATCTATATAATAGAAATCTATTCAAATTTAAAGGCCTACCCCAGGATCAAGATGGTACGGTTATTCTGCTCGAAAATGAAGACTGGGGTGCGAAATTGACCGGTAGTGAAGAAAAAAGGAAAATAAATCATTCCGACCTATACAAAACCTATTTTATTCTAGGCTGTGGGGTACCCCCAGGAGGCCCGTCGCGCGGCAAGAAGGCAAAGTCAGCGGACGAGTCGCGCGCGTACTATAGGGATTTCGCGTCAAGTTAAAAGAGTGTCCCATTGCACGTCCTACATCGCACATCACGCGCTGCAACTCGTCCGACGACTCTGCCTGCGACGAGCCTCTGGGGGGTACCCGCTTTGGGTGGTTCTAAAATTGCAATAGACAGCGAGATAAGAGATAACGAGCGTCGCGGATAGGGAAAAGGATCACTGACGAGTCAATGCGAGCGAGAACTTTCTGGGTGAAGCCCCAAATGCTAGGTGAAATCCTGTAATCAAAACATAACCCTAGAGCCTTTGACCTTT